GACGTGCCTCTAGCACAACTGTTACGCTTTCCAGGAAGCAAATTTTATTGGTTCCAATGGCGAGGAGCGACTGCCTATCCTCCTTTATTATTCGCCAGCTTTATGCCTTGAAATTGGGCATTTGTCATGTAAAACATCGGTGGTCTGACCTCTACGAACTGACAGACCTCCCGCATCCCTGGCCTCCGTGCGGTAACTCCACCTTTGCTTCGGTACGTCGGCTCGTTAATCGATAAGTCAGTTGAAGTCTGTTTACTTGTATATTAAACTGACTGGAATTCTAAGTCTTCCCTCTCCTTTTTATCATCCGATCAGTTACTTTCCTCGGAAGGTATCACCAATAAGTCCAGAGAAGATAACGTTTTAAATCTCCTGCGTTAGCCTCAAATGCATCATTATTACTTTTTCAAGTTTTTTTTATTGGGTAAGACAGGATTGCATGTATTGTTGTACACACTTTCCTTGGCCGGAAACCAGTAAAATGCGCCAAAGATGACCCGACAGGTCATATTCAAAACTCAGGATTTTTCAAGACACCGATTACCTGGTTGATGAACCGTTTTGGTTTTTGCTGCTCACGCAGTCCTGGAAGGATGCGGAGCGGTAAACTGGCGGTGGCAGTCCCTTTTGTGTGTGCGTGTGTACCTGTGTACATCGCGGGGCTGTTGCTGTTGCCGGTCCCACCAGTATGTGTGTGTGTGTGCCCGTGTATGCGAGCATTGCCACTGCTGTGTGTGTGTCCGTTTTGGTAACCATTCTAGTTCACACACCGAAGTCTGTCAAAGCCCAGCACTAACTGGTTTTCTAATGGGACAACAGTCGGGCATTTATCTCGGAGAGTTCGTCCAGAGTGGTTCATTTAAGGGTTCTCACCCTGTTTTTAACGGATATGCGATACTCCAAAAAGGGAACAGACTGCGAGAGAAAAGGTCGAAAGTGTAGGTCACAGCCAAAAAGAAGAAATTTAAAAACTTCATTCGTATAAATTACATTCTTGAAGAGTAGAAATGTAGCAATTGCCCCAGTCCCAACTACTGAAAGACATAAAAACTGGCAGGAACTCCGGATGTCGTGCGTGCAATAAGAAAGCGAATAGAATGACCTGCTTGAATATTTACACCCTCAGTTGATATCAAGTTTATGAGAGGCCATGTCTCTGCTCGGATGGTTTTTGTGACGAGACCAAAACACAAGCAATAGGTGCACTTCGATCTACTGTTTTCCAAAATCCAGTTGGATCGGATTGGGTAACTAAGTAACCTTCAGTTCGATAGGTTTTTGTGGATCTCGTCTCTGGACAATTTGTGCCGTGTCCATGCTCACGCTTGTTCTTATTGTTTCACATAGTAGTCAGCGTCATTACCAAATCAATACGGATAGAATAAGCCCGTAAAACGCTGTCCCAATCAACTGACATCGCCGATACTCTGCCTGATGATAAACAGGTCATCACACAAAAGTAACCGTGGGGGTATAAAAAAACTTTTTGTGAGGACTTGCAGTAGAGAATACCTATTCAGTTGACCATAGTTAAAACGCAGTTCCTATTTAGCATAACCGAAAAAAGAAACGAAATTTCAAATTCATAAGAAAGCTCCTTAACCGATTGCCTCTTCCACTTGTATCTTCTAGACTCTCTCATTTAGAGCCAATCAACCACCCAAATTGAATAAACAACAACAATTTATAGGCAGGTATATTTGGCTGATAACGAATGCGTGAATATGGCCTCAGAAAAGAATCCCTTTCTGACTATTAACGAGGAATTAATGTCCTATCTTAGCAAATGACGACTCCAACTATGTCTCCCAATGTTAATAATAGAAGAAGACTTAGAGAAAGCATGCGTAGTTCCACGAATATGCGGAAGCAAGATGGAGTCCGTAAGGAATAAAATAATGATTTTGGGGCGTCAGGCTGCTGCAAAAGTGCATGAAGTTTTTTAGGTTTTTAGTGAAATGAAGTTTGATCACAAAATCAGGGGCTTTTCCTGTCGGCTAAAGTCGATGAGGGAGAATTTGCTTTCATCCTTCCAGTCCTTCACTTCTGCCGCTCCATCGCTTTAGCTTTTTTCAAAATAACGGGGTTCCGTACAAAGAACACCAGAGGTATATCGTCCATGAAGTCATTTTGCTGGCTTTGCCGATGCCAGTTTTCAATTATTGCAGTCATCTGACCGAGGCGATTTCGAAAGGTGGCGTCGTCGCAAACTAGGGCGAGTTCCTTCATTTCAAGCAGTCGTGACGCAATTTCAGAGATCCTCTGGTGGATGGACAGGGCTTTAGTTGACACAGAGTCTTCACTAGATTCCGCTTCCACCTCCTTCACCAATGTCAAGCCCTCAGTCAACCCCTCAGGAGACACCTCAATCGTTTTGGGGAGCGCCAGCGGGCCTCTTCTCGAGGACGTTTCTGAAAACAAAATGCATACATACAAACGGGTTGATGTGCTGATTTTCCTAGGGTGTTCTGCCCCCCGTTCCCCCTCCCTTGTCTGTTCATGTTTCAGCAAAATACTAAAGCACATGGGTGAATCTTGCAAACACTGAAAATTATACTATCATCGTTTCTTAGGCAACAACTAAACTCGAAGTGTGTAGACACAATTCACGAGTAACCTGAACAGGATACACATAAATTACTCGGATATCGACGAAGTTTTTATTTACACATGGTTATTGGCAGCGCTGCTGGCCTGAAAATGGAATCTGTTGATGCGATTATTAAAAATGAAGATGATAAGGCCTCAACTATCACTAGATTACATAATAGACAAAAGCGACACGTGACACGTGAAGAGGGGATTGGGATAGTAAGGACTTTTACAATGAATCAGAACACAATTTCAATATATAATTTCTGGTATCAGCATAGAGCGTGCCATCTGCCTACGTATCAGCGTTCTTGGGGTTGACTTAATGTGAGAAAAAGAGGCAGATGTGTGTCCCATTCAAAGTCTCTTCTATAAATGAAAATAACCGAACACGTAAAGCAGTAAAAACTTGGAAATTACTCCACTTATATCAGGCAGACTCGTTACAATTTTTACTCTATTTGCCATTTTGCTAATAATATGTTTGTATGAATGGTCCACGTAGATTTATTCAAGATATACCCGTTAAATTTCAAGCTAACTATCAGAAACTTCGCTTTTTAGGTCGGCAAAAGTCCATCTAGTCGGAATCCTATTTGTTCATCATTTTGCTTTTTATTGTTTACTTAAGTGGACTAGGTGCATGCTCGCTTCGAACATATGCTTCTCCACCGCGCCTTACGTGGGCAAGCAAAATCAATGGTCGCTAACGTGTACCTGTTTTACAACATTGTGAGCTGAGCTGAACGAATGCCCTTTTGCATGTTTTCTCCATTAGAGAAAACTAGGCGAACCATTTTTCGGGCTGATTATCAGGCGCTGCAGTAGTTATTTAAATTTTTCCCTACCCTCCTTACCCAGATATGGTGGAGTTTACTGCTACGATGAGAAGCTGAATTTCCCTCTTAGGGAGCGGGATGTTAGCAGGAAGATTTCAGGCTTGAGGGGATATTTCTGGGCGACTGTGTGTACAAACGGATTATCTCAATACTTACATGCGGCATCAAGCATTCATTCTTATCCGTGCCCACAATATGTCTAGGAGTAATTTTGCTAATGATATGAGTAACTTCGGCTAGACGCTGGTAACCCTGTCGTCTCAGATTCGGCGAGTTTACAATTCCTTTGAAGTATTTCATCAAGTCCTGCACACCCAGATGCTTAAGGCCCATAAAGGTGTAAGTTGACACACTGTCCTGTTTGAGCATGAAAACTAATTGCATT